CATCTCCTCACCAGCAATCATCACCCAGAAAAGCAGAGATTAACACCAAGATTATCACCAGGCATACAATCAGCAGTAAACAATACCCTAATCAAGGAACTACCAGGGGGGAAAAAATAAAACAAAACAAAACCCACACCCCCACCAACACTGGCAGAGCAAGCCACTGTATATAAACCGAGAGCAAACCCCATCCCATTCTAGCACTGAAGATGTTACCCAGCTGGGTAACGAAACCTTTGCAAGAAAATAATTAAGCTCATGCAATATTCCAAAAGGTATATTGGAATACCTTTTGTATTCCAAGCATATACTCTCCAATTGAAAAGGGTAGTTTTACACACACTTTTTACAGCAAGGCCACAGAATGTTCACAAACACACCAATTACAAAAGAAGACGGTCACCACCCACTACAGTTGATTAAACAGGACACTTGCTGTGTGGGAATGGAAATTAGTTTGGCTGGAGGGAAAGAAAAGTTACAATAAAATATATCACAGAAGAAGACTAGGAGCAGGCAAAGCTTTATACTACTGGCCGCAACAGTAAAGAACTATGGAGCAAAAATTACAGATGGCAAATAAAGACCTCATGCAGTGCTTAAGGATAAAAATGCTGTGAAAGGTAGAGAGCAATTTTAAATATTCACTTTAAATCATTGCTAAATACATCTCTAACCACAGTTCTGTGTCTTAAAAAATACAAAGTGTTTAATGACAGTCAACCCTGCGCTGTGAAGTTACTCCCTGTCATTTCTACTCTACCTAATTAGAACTCCAGCCACAAATAATTTGGAGAAGCAAATTAATGGTCAGGTTGGAACAGAAGTCCTAAACCCAACACCATCAGTTGTGGGAGCAAGTCGCCAAGACAAACTTTCATCATAAAACAGTGAGGATCAGAAGAGTTTTAATTGGGCAAATACCACTCTTAACTTGGCAGAAGATGAGATATTTGCTAATGAGGGTTAGCATAAACACTTGATAATGAGCAAGAGGTGGGCACAAATCAAAATCACAATGTAGGAGAATGAAAGAACAAGTCAGAGGACTGATTTACCCAGGCAAAATGGGATGAGGAGAAATAACCAGGAGGCAATGGTCCTTCTTAAAGGCACATCAAGAAAGAGACTCATATGGGGCTTTTCAATACAGATCCACTGAGTAAACTGAAAGCAACCATGATCTAAAGCAGGAGGTTCAAACTTTTTCAGACTGTGGTGGTGAATGACTTAATTCTCATATTCTTCAAATCCATAGTTGTTCCCCAAAGCTTACCACAGAGGCATCTTTGCACATCATGACGACAGAGGTTTGGAACTCCCCAATGAAGTCATGCCCTCCATCACTGTCATAATCATAACAGACAATCTGGCAGAAAAGGGAGAGGAACAGTCAGGATTCTCCCACAGCTTACTGAGGTCCCAAAAATGACCCACCCGAAACTAAAAAAAACTTCATCCTGCTTATGAAAGAGAAAAAAAAATCATGAAGATGCTCATTTCTCCCAGAGGAGGACAGCATTGACCAGGTATCCAATTAAGAGCGAGATGCTCTCTACAACATGCTGATGGAGTAACTTCAATGAAAGTCTCACAAAACACCAAACCCAAGATACCATAGATGGCTGCATTAGCATCTCCTTATTTCAAGCTCAGAACACTCAAACCTCCAGACAGCCAGTAAATTGTTATTGCCCATCTCGCTGCAGATGTTGGACTGGTACTGAAGTGCTTTCAGACTTGCAAGATTCTGTTAATGTAACCTTACAATAAGGGTAGTGTTAGTTCTCATGGTTTTGGTTTCTTTCCTGGACTACCTCAAGGGCTGACAGTTACAGTGGTTAAAGAGTTGGGCTGGCACTGGGGAGACCCAAGTTCTAGTTGCCTCTCACCCATGGAAGTTCCTCAGGTGATGTTGAGCAGGGCCTTCTTTCTCAGCCTTGTCTGCTTGACAGAGTGCCTGGCCCAGCATCACTGAGGGAACTTCTGTAACTAGTGGGCCAGAACCTGGGTCTCCCCATTCCTAGTCCAACTTCTTCACTACTACACCACAGTGGCTCAAGTTTTTGTTTTTTGTTTCACCCGCTATAGGAAACACAACTCGGAGGGATATGGAGGAAAAAGGGATTTATTTATTTATATTTCAAATTGTTATCGCCCATCTCGCTGCAGAGCAACTCTGGGCAGTTTACAGTAAAAAAATAAATATTAATTAAAATAGAATAAATATTAATTAAAATACGTTACAACGAGACTTCCTATATAAATAATAAATATCTTCCAAGAAACTGATGTTAACTAGGAATTATTAGACTCAGGGAGTGTCTTCAAAGCACCAGTCACCCCCAGGATTGGTTATATCCCTTCTCACCCCATGCAAGTTGGCAGAGCCAGGTCTTCACCCCTTTTCGGAAGGCCGGGAGAGTGGGGGCCCACCCCACCTCTGGGGGAAGAGTGTTCCATAGGGTGGAGGCAATGGCAGAGAAGGCTCTCCTCCTGGGCCCTGCCAGGTGACATTATTTTGTAGACAGGGTCCGAAACATACATACATAACCTTCTCCCCACTCAAGAGAACTCTCCCTTTATTTCACAAATATTCTGTAAAGACTCCTAAGCTGGATCTATGACCAAATATCTGAATATTTGGCCCAACTTCCATTTCAAGACAGCAATATGTTGTGATATAATTAAACAAGGGGGATTTTTAAATGTTCCAATCACCCTTGAGAATCCTGTAATTTTAAAAATGGGATAAATGTCTTTTACCCTTAGTGAAAAGCCTATTGAGTACTACTGGAGAGGAAGAAGCATCAATTGCATTTTTGCTTCTGGGCAGTCAGATTCTGGCAGAAGAAGAAGCCTCACATTCTTACTGCAGATGTGCTCAACTACATCTTTCAAAGGTGTGGGGACATCAACTCCCAGAATGCCCCAGCTAATATGGATAAAGACTACACAGACTGGGAATTTGGGAGTCAAAATCCAACCGATAGGAGCACACCAGGTTGAGGTAGGATATTCTAATAAAACGTTTATCTCTCAGCCACAGTGGAGATAATGGAACTGAAATGGAAGAAGAGTAGGTGACAGTACCTTGATTTGCTTTTCTATATCCCCATCACACAGAGATATTAAAGGCACAGTGAATGGTTTCCACACAGGATCCAGCGTGTATTTAATTACCTGCAATTTGAAGAAAAAGCCAGGAAGACAAGAGATGTATTGGATGCTATTATAACAATACCTGGGCTAGAGGTGGGGGTAGATGCATTTTTTTACACACTCCACTGTGCAACTCCACAGAAAGCAGAAGCAGGGGCAGGGTCATTCTGCTTTTTACTTGAAAGGTTCAAAGGCACCAACTTTGGATTTCCTGGGCTCTACTTCCCCACAAAATCACTTCTAGCCAATTTAACTTCGATGCTGAAAGCAAAGCCGGGAAGCGGGGAACCGGCTGGGTTATGGAGCACCAGGGAGCAATTCTCCAAATTCCAAAGGGTTGTGGAGGCCATCAAGACCTTTTTTCCCCAACATTTCATTGCAATTTGCCTTCCTGTAACGTAAGTCCAGTATTTTGCACCCTGCACTCTGGTACCTTAGAGAACAGGTTGTGGCCCCTATCCATGTACTAAGCTCTAGTCTTGGAATAACACATCACCACTGCTGTGGTCACATAAAATATCCCACCCAAACAAATGAACCATATTAGGGCTTAGTATGATGATCTGGTTCAAACAGGAAGCTAGAACAATGGCTGGGTTTCCCAGAACACAGTGAACTCCAAGTTACAGAACCCTACCTCTGAAGCATGCTGGGAAAACCATGCCGTAGAGCCCTCTCTTATCATTTCTCCTTCAAATCTGCAAGTCTGGTGCCCAGAACTGAACTTGAGGGCTCTTTAGATCAATAGTGACATACCTCAACCAACTGCTAAAGCAGGAACCCGTGTTTGCAAAATGCAAAACACTCAGGTGCACAGTTCTGCACGCACAGAACTTATCACTGGGGGAAATGTCAGGGTTTTTTGTCAGCAGCCTGAACCCCAAAGCGACTCCTTCTAAGCAGTAACATCCAAGGGGGCTGCCCAGAAAGGCAAGATGGTAGGCACCATGTGACAATGCAAGCCCTGCCCCTTTTGTATCTTGCACACGTACCAAAGGGGTGGGGCTCACCTTGTGACATCATGTCCACAATTTGCCTTTTCTGACCTCACCCTCTGCAGACCCCACTGCTTCCAAGCAAAATACAGACAGAATTCTGTATAGCCAGATGGATTGAATTTACAAGAATTCCAGCAACTGGGGTTCCCTTCTTCAAAACCAATATATCCCCATGTCTTTAATGTCTTTCTGACTGCCTTCCTGTGCCATTTTACTGATAATAGGGAAGTGTAATAGGAAGTAGGAATAACCTTGAAGAACAGAAGGAAGAACCGCAACCAAGGCAATGGTCAGATAAAAGAAATCTGAGTCTGGGGCAGAAATGTAATTTGAGAAAGCGTCTCAGACTTGATCCTCCCTAGTTCTTCTGAAGATAAAAGGAAGGAAGGGGGAAGCACATTCAGACTTGCATGATTCTGTTACTGTAACCTTATAATAAATAAGTATTAGCATTCATAATTCTGGCATCCAAGTCTGGTCTACCTTGGAGCGCTGATTGGAAGCTTGGAGCTAGCTCTACACATCATGGACTCCTGAATCTTTATCAGCAGCCATGACTAAAGCAAAGTACATAAAGCTTTGCAGTGTCTCTTCACTTAGGTCTCTGATGAAATGAGGCACCTGTCAAACTCACAGCCCTACCAGACATGGTCCTTGGGGTGGTGTCTGCCCAGAGCAGAACAGAGGAACTGTTCCCTCCCTTGATTTGGAAACTATGCAGGCTCAAACTGGGTTGGACTTTTTGTCATTCATAACGCATTCCATCCAATATTTTCTAAATTCTTGAAGGCGGGGGTGGGAGAAAGATTTTCCTCAAACAAGCATCTTTTGTACAACAATGCAGTAATCAAAAGCGAGATGCAAATTATTTCAGGCTGCTCAGGAAACTGTTGGGAATAACTAGATACTTTGGCCCAGATCATTGCAAAAAAGGACCTCCCTTCTCCAGGCCTTGTGTCTAATGTTGGATCCTGCCCCATCCTCCCAACACTGTTCAATAGAGTCTAAAACACAGATATACAACATCCCTAGGGGGTTGCAACAGACACAACAGCCGCAGGCCCTACAACTCTCTCCCCAGGCAATTTTCAGGTTCTCTTGGCAATTATATTTAGCAGTCCCTGATTTTTTTTAAAAAAATCCAAACTCATTGGATAATATCTGTTAGGAAATGCTACCCCAAGATTTACAAACTGTTCAAGTTCTCTAGAATTCAAAGAATCCTAGGCTTGGAAGGGACCTCTGAGGTCTTCTTGTCCAACCCCCTGCCCAGGACAAGAATCCTCAGACCTTTCTGGAGAGATGGCTGTCCAACCTTTTCTTGAAAGCCTCCAGTGATGGAACGCCCACAACCTTAGAGGGCAGGCTGCCCCCCGGGGCTCAATGGCTCTCACAGTCAGGAAATTCCTCCCTATTTCCAGTTTGGATCTCCCTCTGTTAAGCTTCCAACCAGTGGTTCTTGTCTTGCTCTCAGGTGCTCTGGAGAATAAATCCACATCCTCCTCCCTGTGACCTCCCTTCATGTATTGGAAGACTGCTTTAGCCTTCTATTCTTTAAGCTGAATGGCTTAATTCAAAGTCTTTTGTGGTTTATTGGTTGCTTCTAATAAAAGTTGCCTCTCAGTTCTGGAAGCCTTGTGCTTTTGTTTGAATCTTGTGAACCAGGATGGGTGTGTGTGTGTGTGTGTGTGTGATTTCCTTATGGGCTTCTTTAAAAGGAGCCCTGCTAAAAACACCTGAAAGCCACACTACATGCACATCAGAGGTTTGGAAACAAAAGGCCCTGGGGATCGAAGTGCTGCTATTTCTGAACAGAAGCACTTTCTCTTCTTCTAGCTTGGTCTCTTTGGAACTCAAATCCTGACTTCTGAATGGCTGTTGACTTTAGCAGGATGTTCCTGGATGGTTTACCTGCTGAGGTGGGGGCACCAAGCCTTGCAGTATTGCTGCTTTAATACACATCTGGCTTTCTAGAACAATGAAAACAAGCCTCATCCTTTAGCGAGGCACCCTGTGGACCGAGCCAAACCTCTCTCTAAATGATGCAATCTGGCGCCTCGTTCACTTATCATAACAACTGCAAGGAAACAACGTTCCTGTCCCAGCTGTCAAAGCGTGGGCCTCCCCAAGGTCATTCCAAAAAGTCAAGGTGGCGACCACAGTAGATGCCCCAGTGTATAAAGATGCAAAGGGGGTGGGTCTGTGCCTTTCCTGTGGGTGGAGCTGCTATATCCTGTATTTGTGGGGTGGGGAGAGGTAGGGATTTTTCTTTGTGCTTTTCAAAACTATTTTCAGTGTTGTGCTACTGTCTTTCTATTTTTCCTGCATTATAATGGTGAGTAACGAGAGCTGGACCATAAAGAAGGCTGAGCGCCTGCTGT